AAGAGATAGGTGTGCAAACCCAGAATTCATTTTATTAATCCAAGAGGCTCTGCTGATACCCACCTGGGAGGGAGCACTGGGTGGTTGACAGCTCCTCTGAGGTCATGGAGCGCCGTGGTGCTGCAGGGACTCTGTCCTGAGGGATGTGCCTGGGGTGCACAGCAGGGCTGGGCTGAAGTGCTGATTTACAAATGTCAGGCCCTTGTGCTTATCTCCTTGAGGAGATGATGCTGTGGGGTGGAGAGGGGACTCATTTTGAGCCAGTGTGAGTCCATCGTGGTGTTCAGGTGCCAGAGGGAGAGGTTGGATGTATTGGCTTTGCCCCAGCAAGTCCTGGGCATTGGCGGTAGCTGGGTTCTCTTACAAATGGTTGGGGTTGGAGGAACCTTAAAGGCCATCTCATCCCACCCCCTGCCATGGGTAGGGACACCTTCCAGTATCCCAGGGTGCTCCAAGCCCTGTCCAGCCTGGCATCAAACACTTCTGGGGATGAGGCAGCCACAGCTTCTCTGGGCAACCTGAGCCAGGGCCTCCCCACCCTCACCGGGAAGAATTTCTTCCCAATATCCCATCTGAGTGTGCCCTCTGTCAGTGGGAAGTCATCCCCCTTGGCCTGTCTCTTCAAGACCCTTGTCAGAAGTCCCTCCCCAGCATTCTGCACCTTTGCAAGAGGGAGGTCCCAAGCTGAGAAGCTACTTAAAAATCAGAGGGGGTGAGATGCTCTTTAAAATACAAATTCAGCTCATCCCTGAGTCTTTAATATTTTTTTTTAATAAGGTTTTTTATGACCCTTGCATTTCTCATCCTAGGACAGAGGTGTGTATACAAATATATTTATCCTGCTGATGTTCTGGATAAAAACACACCCTTGACTTGTGCCCAGCAAAGCAAAAACCATCTCACCATCAAACTCACAAAAGCGGCACAAAATGCAGCTTTCACCTGAGATACTGATTCACCCACACGAGCCTCGCCGTTTGTTCTGCATCCATTTTTAATGTGTCCCCTCCAAAGGCAGAAATGCGTGTACAGCAATCGTGTCAGCTGAGTTACATGGCAAAAAAAGGCTTTTAAATGGATGCCTTTAAAGTGATGCCTGTTCCAAGGCCAGTAAAAGGCTTTGCTGCTGCATGGAGGGTTGGTCTGCTGCCCAGAGGAGTCCAAGATGGGATTTGCAGGAGCAGGAGTGGAAACTTCAGCCCCAAATGCTGTCTGGAGATGTTCACCACAATTTTTAAAAAAAAATTTCATTGGCATTGTCTGTTAACACCCATCAGTGGTTGAAGTATAAAGGATGCAGAATCCAGCAGTGCCATGGAAGCTTAATGTGATCAACTAAAATATAATTAACAGCCAATTATTTCAGTAGGAATGGTAGTTTTCAACAATTGGTCTGGGAAATGTTTAAATTGCTTTCATTTCATCTCTGCCCACTTGCAGCAGGTTTGGAAGGGCTTGGAATGAGTGATGGGGTTTGTTCATACAAGGCAATATCTCCTTCCCCTTTGGGTAGTCAGGAATTACAGAAAGCACCCAATTCCCCTCCCCCCTCCCCCCCCCCCAAAAAAAAAAAAAAAAAGATTAAAAAGAGGAGGGAAAAATTAAAAGGGACAAAAATATTGGGGGAAAAGTGCTGTGGAAGCTTTTCACATTGATGTTGTTCCATTTAGGAGGCGATTCCTAATGGCACATTTAACTTTACACCCTGATATAGTGATGCTTGCAAGGATGAACTGCAAAAAAAATGCCTTTAAAAATATTCTCTTGTCCTGATTGCTTTTGCATCATGCTGAGGGCTGTGTGGAGTCCCTTGAGAGGGGCACTGAGCCCTGCTCCCTCCTAGAGAGGGCTGATGCTCACTGCAAACTCCTTTGAAGCTTTGAGTACAGGCACAGGTAGAGGCACAGCTCCATCCAGCTGACAGGAATCACATGGAAATCCTCCCTCAGCCATCTGGATGTGGAAGAAACACAGGCTGAGATGAGGTTCCTGAGTAATTGACCCCATTTTCCCAGCTATTGGAACTTTCCTGTAATGGTCTCTGAGAGCTGCCTGCAAACGGCACCTTTCGGGTCATTCATTTAGGTACTTAAACCTGGCAGAGCAGCAGGGGTTTTCTCCCCCCTGTTTTAAAATGAAGCTAAAATTTCCCTTTCAAGCTGAGTCTCTTAGTGCAAATTATGCCAATAACATGGGATTTCTCCATAGGACCCTTGTGAGCAGGAGAGTTTGGATGGAAGCTTGGAGAAGGGTGATGGAGAGCAGGTGCTCTCTGCTGGGGGGGAAAGTGCTTTGAGGGGGAAAATTGGTGTGATTTTGGTGGGCAGAATTGTGGGAAGCATTGGAGTGATGGAAATCCTGTATACAAATGAGTGTCATTACAGGTTTGTGCCCAGAAAATTTGTGGCTGCCCCATCCCTGGAAGTTCCATGCCAGGTTGGACAGGGCTTGGAGCACCCTGGGATACTGGAAGGTGTCCCTGCCCATGGAAGGAGTGAAACAAGATGAGGTTTAAGCTCCCTTCCAACCCAAACCAGTTTGTGACTCCATGACATTGGCAGGAGCCCTGAGAGGGAGCTGGAAAGAGGGATTTTCCTATCAAACCCTGGCTGCATGGGTTGTGCTTTCCAATTTTGTATATATATATATATATTTAAACCGGATTTGGCTTTGCCATATATATCATAATGCATATGTAGCAAATATAGCTATTTATTGCAAAGCATAATCCTTTTTTCTACATATATATATATATATATGTCTATCTCAAATTATATGTGTAAAACAGCAAGAATTTTGGATATATGGCTGATCAATAATTCAGGTTCTCTAGGATTTGGCTTGCAGCCAGCAGCGTGAGGAGCATGGTGCTGCATGTTTCTCTCCAGATTACATCTGTAGCTTCTCATAGATCTCAGATTTTAATCCTTCAGCAGTTTCTGCCTGCATCAGGAGCCGAGTGCTAAGTGGGGATGAAATTCCCTTGTTGCCTGTTTTGGAGAAGAGATGCTTTTCCATTTTTTCAGTGTTTCTAACCGTGAGCAGAGGGCATCAGTGCATTTTTGGAGAGCTGCACTGGGCAGGGCATTACAGCACCTTGGGCCATGCCCAAGGACCCCTCTGGAATTCTTTGCTGCAGAATTCCCCCCAAGCTGTCTGTCCTTGGTCTTGTTTTCCCTCTCCCTTTCCCAGATCACTTCCTGCTGTGTGGGGATTTTCTTGGTTCCCACCAAAATGCTGCAATTTGCAGGAATCCATCGGGATCAGTCAACCCTGTGCAAGCTGCCCTGCCTCCATCCTCATCTGCTGGTTCATTTGTTTCCCAGGAATAGCCCTTGATGAAGTGGCATGTAAGGAAAGGTGAAAATGAGTTATCAGTGGGGGAAAAAACCCAATTTGTTGCAGCCAGGGGTATTTTGTGGGGCTGCAGGGAGCTTTCTGTGGCTGGGGAAGGCACTTGGTGGGTTTTGCACACAAAATACTCCACCATGTGTGAGCCCTTCACATCCTCCCAGGGCTCCCAGAGGCTGGAGGGGACACGCTGTGTTTCTCCCATCCCTGGGGAAGATCCTGTTGGCCTTGGCCTCCTCCAGTTCTTGCTTTTTGCACGGAGCTCAAGAAAGCACTTCGGGCTGCACCAAACCCCCCAGCCCGGAGCTCGACTGTTCCTCATTAGTGACTTTATTGCTAAATAATTTACAGAATGGGGCCTTGCCAGTTTTCATTCGGGAAGCATTTCAAGTATGTGCAGCAGATTTTTTGCCTTCCTGGCGCAGCTGCAGGGGGGAGCTGCCTCTCCCTGTCCTGCCGCCGGCGTCACCTCCCAGCCCGGACAGGAAACGGCCCCTGCACGTGCAGAGGGAGAACAAGGGGAGAAATGTCCCTGTTCCATGTCCAGTTGGTGTCCTCCAGGCTCACTGCTACTCGGGGGCACTGGGGAAAGGACACAAGTACAGTGGTTTGGAGAGGAAGTGTTTGGGTTTGATTTCTGTTTCATTTTTTCTGGTAACTGTGACGTGTATGCTGATAGGGGCATTTTCTGTCCCCGTGTTCATGATGCCAACTCAAGAGGATGTGGATGTCCCAGCCCTGGAAGTGTTAAAGTCCAGCTTGGACTTAGAGCAACCTGGTCTAGTGGAAAGTATCCCTGCCTATGGCAGGGGGACTGCAGGGTCTTTAAGGTGCCTTCCAGTCCAAACCATTCCGTGATTCTATAATCCAGTCTGGGATGTGAAAGGCCTTTTCTCCACCTGTTTTTAAAGGGGAGGAAAAGCAATGTCAGACTCAGAGGGAGGATTGCACTGGCACCTGCACAGCCTGAAAGTGTTTTGCGGGATGAGGGTGGTGGGTGCAATGTGGAAATAGCAGAAAAGCACTTAATTACACTAAACAGTGGGTGCAGCTGTAGGAAATGAGGTGCTGGAGCTTTCCTCCAGTCCCTCATGTGGAGGGGATCCCAGCTGGGTTCTGCCAGGAAGCTCCTGCAGTGTAGCTGCTTGGAGGAGTGAGCAGTCACTGGGTGTAAATCTGGAAAATCCAGGATTTGAGGCTGTGGATGGAAGCATCATCTTCCCTTTTCCAGTCTCACAGTGTTCTGTTGAGTGTGCCCTGCGCATGTGGGTGGCTGGAGGCAGAGCTGAGATGTGTGGGAGCTCAGGAGACTCTGTTGGACCTCAGCCCTGTCAGCGAGTGGTTTGGATAGGAAAGTCCTTCCTGTTTTTTTCTTACTATTACTATTACATACTAACATCTATTTTTATTTGTTCAATGCTAAAGCCATCACCCAGTGGAGGCTCCCCACCTCCCTCCTAGCGCCTTCCCATCACTTCCATCCTCCTCCAGCCCCAGGTGGTGCAGGTTTGGGCTGTGCAGAGCAGTTTTGCCAGCAGGGAGGGGCTGCCCCAGCAGCGTTTCCCCGGGGTTTGGGTTTTTGCAGCAGGAGCTGGGGCTGTGCTGGAGCTCTCTCTCACTTCCTCGCATTGTGTCCCTTCTTCCTCCAGCGCTGCTGCGGGAGGAGGTGGCCCAGCTGCAGGAGGAGGTCCACCTGCTCCGGCAAATGAAGGAAATGCTGACCAAGGACCTGGAGGAGACACACGGCAGCAAGTCCCCGGAGGTGCTGTCGGCCACCGAGCTGAAGGTGCAGCTGGCACAGAAGGAGCAGGAGCTGGCACGTGCCAAGGAGGCTCTGCAGGGTAAGGGCTGCGCCTCCCGAGGCTGCACGTCTCCCCTGCAGTATTTGCAGGGAAGGCCCTGATGAAGGGAGAAATGATGAGGAGGAGTCTATCATATTAGAAGGCTAATTCATTACTTTGTTATGTTATATTATTCTATACTATATTATATTACATTTAAACTGAATCTGCCCAGTACTCAATTGCACACCTTGCACAGAATTTCGTGACTGTCAGCTGACAGTCCTGACACACACACGGATTCAATGGGTCAGTGAATCAAAACACTCACACCAGAATTCAATTAGTAATTCCCTTCAGGTAAAGAGTCTTTCACGATGCATTCCACTTGTGAGCACAGGAGCAGTAAATGAGATAAGAATTTTTTTTCTTTCTCTGAGGTTCATAGAATGTGAAATCCAGAAATATTCTTGGGAAGAATTGTGCCTTTCTTTTCTCTGTGAAGAGAAACGTGGTGACACTCCCCACCACCCTCAACTTTTAACACTTTTCACTTGGGCTCTGCCGAGTGCATTGATCAGGTGCTCCTGCTGGGGGTTTGGTGTCCCTGGGACCCCCCTGCTCTCCTACCCCAGCAAGGGGTGGTGTGGAGCTGGGAAGGACTGGGGTGAGGGCTGATTGCAGCACTGCAAAGGAATTCCTCCACAGCTGTAGAGTAGAGCCAAGGCAGCAGCTGAAATGCAGCTGGTGATGGGGTTTGGGTTGGATTTGAGCCCCTCGGACTTGCAGGAGGGAAGCTGTGAGTTTCCTGGTGACTGCAACTTTCCTTGTCCTGCATGGGGTTACCTCCAGGTGACATTCAGGGTCTCCTCCTTCCTTCATGGCTGCCTTTGGGGGTTTTTGTGGCAGCTGGGACTGTGCTCCCCCTTCCTTACCAGCACAGCAAGCCCCGGGACTGGGGTGTGTGGAGCAAAATAAAACATTGCAGCTTTTCTGCTCTAAACCCAAGCTGACAATAAATCCAGGCAGGATGGTTTGTTAGCTGGAGCCAGGGGATGATCCTGAGCAGGGAAGGCTCTCACTCGTCAAGCCCTGGCAGCGCCGTGGCTCTAAATATCATCTCAAATCCCCAGCATACCGAGTATAACTTGCACTTGTCAGCTCATATTTGAGGATTATGAGGAGAAGCTGTCAAAAGTTTTCAGGCTCAGAGGCTGAGCAGCACGTGGGGAGCTGTGGGGCCTCTGCATCTCCCCCTGTCCAGGATGCTGAGGTGCTCCGAGGCGCAGGGAATTGGGCTGAGTCAGTATTTGGGGAAAGCACTTCAGGAAATTTTGTTATCACTCTCTGATGTACAAAAATATCCCTATAAATCAGCAACAGACAAAATACCTCCAAAATCCTGCCTCCCCCCACACCACCAGTGCAGCCTCAGGCAGCAGGAAATGCTTTGGGTTTATAGAACTGTAATTGGAGGAGAAAAACCTTAATTAGGGAATATTGGCTCCGTGTGGATGGGGCGAGGGGGAAGTGCTGATAAATGCAAAATGCAGAAAAGCAGAACCATTATAATGCTAGTTACAAAAAAAAAAAAGAGTAAGAAGTCATCTCAGAAGCTGCAATGCTTCTGTATGTGCTTCTGTGGAGGATAGTAGAGAGAAAAAGTGAGTTTGGCTTGAAAATTGTGAGTATTTAAAGAATATAATGTTGGGCTTTTATTGGGCCTTTATTTGCCAATATTCAAACCTCTGAGCATGGTTTTCCAGGACTTCTCTGCAGGTGTGGAGAATCTCAGTTGACACTTGGATGGGCATACAGCAAGAAGCTTTTTTCAATTGATGCTCCTTCCCTGTCCTGCAATACTGAGAAGCTTTTGTGGTTTTGGGAAAGTTGTCCAGGCTGGATCTGGGCTGGAGGCTCTGGGCAGCAGAGCAGGCTTGGCAACAGTGACTGAGATGGATAACTTGAAAACGAGATCAGCAGCTGGAGGGGGAAAAAAATCCTTTTTCCTTTCTGTGAAAAATGGTCCAGGGAGAAACGTAGCCAAAAGTGGAGGAAAAACGGCGCCTGGTGGCTGGTTCTGCCAGGGGAGATGGATCTGCTGATGGACACACTGGGGAAGTCACGGCTCCGTAGTGAGGAACTGCAGGATAAGGCTGTGCCAGGAGCACAGGGAAACTTGGCCACACTGCCCTGTAGTTTAGGGATCTGTGTCAGCTGTGTCCTGCAGCCAGAGCACCTCCCAGGAGCAGCTCCTCCTCACAGCCTGCACTGCTGCATCCCCAGTCCCACATCCTCACCAAAGGCAGCCCCACACCCAGCAGCAGAGGCTGCAGCAGCCCACGATCCATCGTGGGTCCTGTGGAATGTCATTAGCAGATAAATTATATGGAAATCTGTCACTGTGGCTGGCTCTGAGCCTGGAAGTGCAGTGCAGCTGGTTCAGATGGATCTTGGCTCGCCGGGCTGTGCTGCAGAGGGAAGCAGAGAGGGTTTGCTGGTCAGGTTTGCTTTTGGGGGTTCCAGCAGTTTTTAAGAGCCTTTATTTTGCACAACCTCACAGGGTTTGGTTTGTGATGGTCTCCAAGGAGGGTGGTTTCATTGTCCCTCTTTGGAGGTGCATTTTAGCCCTTCTCCACAGAACTTGTCACAGGGACAAAGCTGATAAGCCTTTGCTGCATCTTCCCTGTGCTGTGCTAACAAGTCCTTGCTGTGCAGGGTAGGGGCAGGGATCTGGCCCAGCACAGGGTGCTCTGCAAGAGCAACTCCACCAGTTTCTTTATTTCTGTCAGCATGTGCTTTGTGCATCATTATTCCACTTTTTTTCCTGGGCTAATTCCATCTCTTGCACTTTTTTATCCCATTAACATCCAATTAAAATCCCATCGTGCTACATCCTACCTCCCTCTCCACTTCTGCCACGGCTGGGACTCTGAATTGTGCTTCCAGCTTTAGTGCAGTTATTATTTCCCCCATCCTGGCTGGAAAGGTGTGGATGTGGTCTGGATTTCTGGTGTGGAAATCCCTGAGGGGAGAAGTTGCAGACAGCTTTATTACTGCTGGTCCTGCTGTGGGCAGGGACCGTGCCCAAGCGCCTGGGGGACTTGAGGAGCCTCTTGGCTGGGAGACATCCATGAGCATGTGGGCTAATGGCAGAAACCCCATTTCTGGGAAGGTTTATCCAATATGCTGGAGCTTGCCTGCGGGATTATCACACGGAGAGCAAACCTGGTTTCTGTTTCCTTTTTGATGCCAGCGTGGAAACCTCAGGCTGGCTTTCCCTGCTGCTTGGAAAGGCATCAACCAACTTCATGTCTGCTCCACAAATGGGTTGTAGCCTGGTTTTCTCCCTCCCTCACCTTCAGCTCAAAGCTGTGACTCCCCAGGCATAGTATTTGGGCTGGGGAAAGCCTCCTACAGAGATCCACAGTACCCTCAACTTGCTGCAGTGAGAGGGTGGGTAGCAAAAAAGTGGATGGATGGATGTCCCAGTGGATGGATGACCCAGAAGATGAGGGTTGCATCAGGTGGATATCCCAGAAGGATGTGTGACCTGGCAGATGGGTGTCCCACTGGATGGATGTCCTGGCAGATGAGGAGGTCCAGCCATGGACCCAGCCAAGGAAGCCATCTCCATTATAAGGGCATGGATCTCTACAGAAAACCTGTTGTTCTCCTTTGAAGACCCACCTGAAGTTTTCAGAAGTCATTGATCACTTTGTTGACTGCTGGGTCAGGTTTGGTAAGCCCTTGGCTGTTACCAGGTAAACTCCCTCGTGGAGAATTGCCTCACCTGACTTTTTCCTGAAATTTGACCTTGGGCTCTAATTTCCTGCCTGCTTCATACCTCCACACCCCCAGGAGTGAGTGCTGGCTCTGCCTGACACCATGGAACGTTGATGTTTTCAGTGTCAAGATCTTCCTGCTGGTGACAGCTGCCCCAGGGACCACACGTGGCTCTAATTGCAAAGCAAGGAGCAGCACTGCCATCCTGATTTTATGGGTTAGTCATGGTGACAATATTGGATTTCATGGCTGTGAGGAAGAAACAGGAGAAATTAAGTAAATGTTAATGGGACAGGATGGGTTTGCACATTCCTGTTGCACAGGGCATCTCTGGGTTCCAGCTGTGCTCCCCGAGGATGCCCTTCCCTGCATTAGAGAATAAGTGTGTGATTCAGAAAGTGAGAAAGTCAGCTTGATTCTGTCCCTGGCATGAAAATCCACACTGTGTAAGGTGAGAGAAGGACTTGGAAGTGGATGGGAGTCACGGGAAGCTGCTCTTTGGAGTTCAAGGGTGTGCTGCATCTTCTGCCAGTGCTCTGGTGTGTGTCTGGGCACTGCTGCCTCATCCCAGGAGTGTGAAACTGGGCAGAGATGATGCTTCTATGGTTCAAGCAGCAGTTTTTCATCTAATATCACATTATCAAGGTAGTCACACTAATTGTTACTCATATGTCCTCCAAGGAAACCTCAGCTGGATGGTAGGGCTTCCACCTGATAGGGCCAGGGGTTGGATGTCAGTGATCCTTGTGGGTCCCTTCCACATCAGGATGTTCTGTAATTGATATCCCCTTAATCTGACACTATTAATCTCAAAGAGGGAAGGCAGTATTTAAAGCAGGGGGAGATGCCTGGGTTTAGGATACAGGAGCTAACTCCCAGCTGGAAGCTGTTGAATGGTGAGATCAGACTGGGGCCACGGGGTGGTGACACTTCCAGTGGTGGCATCACTGGGTGGTTCCAGCCCTGCTGCTGTCCCAGACAAGGCTGTGCCTCCCCAGTGGAGTGACTGGATTTTGGCTCCTCACATAGAGCTGGGAATAAAAGGTGCTGAGGGGGTGGATTTTTAATTGGGCTGCAGGAGGAGCCCGTGAGGAGCCGGTCCCGTTACGTCTGTGTCCATCATTCTTCTCCCAAAGGACTGAGAGGGGATCGAGTGGCAGGAGGTGGAAGCTCAAATAACGACAGGGCAGGGTGACCTGGTGCATGTGGGGATGGTGTGGGAGCTGGGGGGGTCACCCAGCTCATCCCAACCCATCTCCCCCATCCCTTGATGCCAAGGCTGGTGCTGAGCTGCTGAGTCCAAGAGGGGCTGCTGGATCCCCCCTCTCCTCCTGCCATTTGCTTTGGAGGGGAGGGGAAAATTAATAATGCAAGTAAGAGAAGTACTTTCCACTCGTGGTCTGGGTTTAGGATTTCTTCCTTCTTTTCTTGGGTTTATGAAGAGGTCAGAGGTTTGTCCAGAGCCTGCTGTGCCAATGGGCTGGGAGAGTTTATTTGGACACTTGTGGGGGTTTGGGATACAGAAACCTGGCCCTGGATCATCAGATTAAAGGAAAAAGCCATTTCACCTCCTCAGATGGACATGATAGCCAGGGAAAATCTGCTTTATCCCTCCTTGGCTGGCCATGGATTGCAAAGGCTCGTTTTCCCTGACTGAGTAATTAGCTGGGCTTGTTTGCTAAGGACGAATTAAGCTGCTGCAGCGAGTGGGGCTCGGTCCAGGAGCTGCTGGCAGCCCTCACAGCTCACTTCTGCCTCACTTTTTATTTTTCTCCTGCCTTTTTCAATTAATTTCCTATTAATTTGGCTTGGAATGAAGTTCTCAAATGACTGATAAATCTTCTTTAAGCTTAGGAGCTAATCATTCTTGGAGGAAGGAGAGTAATAGAGGGGAGCAAAAAAAAAGTGTGTTAATTTCAGCAAATCTCTCAAATATGAAATGCAGTGAATGGTAAATTGTTCTGTTGGGTTAATAGGAAAAAATCTGCTCTTTCAATATCCAAACCTCATAATCTTCTTATAATACTGATACACTGGCATAAATATTGGTAAATATTACTATATCAATACATATTCAACCTTGTGATATAGTTACCCTTCCTCTAATAGTACTTCGCAGCATTTTCTTTTTTTTTTATTGGCAAATGATTAAGTGTTTTCTGTAAATCTTTAAGGGCCATGAACACTGCCACTAATTAAAGGAGTTTGTATGCTATAGGGGACTCACTATTTAATTAAGTTCATTAGGATTCCTTTTGTCCCCTCCAGCATCAGAGATTGGCAAATGTGACTTAAACTTTTATAAGAGCCTCCCAGTATCTTTGAGGAAATTAAATATTACATATATAGACACATGTGTGTCTGTGGGGTTTGGATCTCACCCCAGTATGGTTCGGTCAACTTACCATTAATTTTTCTTTTCTAACAAGTTTTTAATTCCTGGGAAAGAATTGGGCAGGGGAAGGTGGTGGTTAAGTAGACACAGGCAGTGGGAAAGGGCTTTTTCAAAGACGTGGGTGTGGTTGTGATTGTTTTTGGAGGGTTTCTGTAGGAATTTCCTAAGATGGGAAAAAAAGTAAGGGAAGTCCTGGTGTCGGAAGAGGCCGAGTTGTCCCAGGAGGAGTCGTGTTCATTGAAGTGGGCGAGAAAGACTCCCAAGAGCTCCTTGTCACAGGACAATGTGAATTTTTGCAGCATTTCCTACCTCATTTTCTGGTTTTCGGTGTTCTGGTTTATCTCCAGTGCTTAATGGCAGAATAATTGGTCCAAAGGATTTCATCTCTTGGATTTTAACAGATAAAAATCTCTACAGTCCAAAGCATCTTTCTCTTCCTCCACTATTTAGTCTGATTTTCTCCCCTCTCTTTTTCTCCTCTCACCTTCACACCCCCTCCTTTCCTTACAGCTCCATTCCAAGTACTTGATTTACTGTTCATCTTCCCAGCACACACTTAGAGTAAGAAACAGTAAAAAAAGTAGAGTAAAACCTGTGCACAGAAGTTCACACCTGAATAAACCTCTTCTCGAGACTGTGGTTGTCACAAGCTGGGGTGGGATGTGGGAGCTGCACAGAGCTGGACTGGGGGGGCTGCTCTGATTTTGGGGTTTATCCCAGCACGTGTGCAGGGCTGGGTGATCCCTGCTATCAGCTTATTCTGCCTGAGGGTGCCTGGGGGCAAATAATGGTGTTCTCCCTGCTTACACACAGGTGGAAATGCCTTTGGAGGGCTCCCAGCCAGAGGAGGGTGGGAGCAGAGCTCCCCTGTGCTGGGTGATGCAAAGGCTCGAAGCCAAAAGGGTGCCAAAGGTGCATGAAGGAATTTAATTCCCCTTTCAGTGTGCCACAGTCACAGTTTCCTTGTATTTCTTACTTTGTCTTTGTTATCCCCACGTGTTGAGAGGAGCCCAAATGTTCAGTTTAACCCCCAGATGAAGTGACTCATTGCAGGGGGTAGAAAATACGGTGTGGGCTGAAACAGCTGCCTTGATCTCTGTAATCTGGTGGAGAAATCTGGTGTGTGCATGGAGACAGGTCCCACTCATGGTGCTGCATCATCTTCTGGCAGCTTTTGTAGTATACACAGACCCTGGTGGCTTTGGGGTTGTTTTATTTCTGGAGAGTTTTAGGGGCATTTAGGATTCTTTCTATAATGCAACTTGCAAGTCTCAGTGATTCAATACCATGAGTGCACCAAGAGTTGGAGGGGCAGAGGGTGTTTCATAGCATTCCTGAGTTAGCGGCACTTGCTCAGGGTAGAAAAGCATAATGAAATATTTATGATGTGATTCCTAAACTGGGCATTATTTTGGTGGGCTGGGGTGTATCTGGAGCAGGGAGCCACAGGGCATCTCTGCAGCACTGCCAAGGATCAGGTTCAGTACTGGGTAAAGCATTGATGTACAGAAGTGACCAAAACTTGTCCTACATGAGATTTCTGTAATTCTCCCTGGATTTCCAGCCTTTCATGGCTGTCCCAGGGTCACTGGTGCAATGAGGAGGGAAAACACAAGGGTTTTGGGTTCCTCTCAGGGCTGTTAAAACGCCCATCACATCCCTCGTGCCTCTGCTCCATCCCCTCTTCCCGGCACAGCATCCCTGAGCTGGAAGGGGACACTGAGGGAGCCATGCCCTGGGCTCGTGGGAGCGCTCTGGAATCTGCCTCACTGCTAAAAATAAACTGGTTGTGGTTTATTTATCCTGGAAAGCGAGCAGCAGGTTTTCCTGCGCCAGGCCCTGAGGCTGAGGCTGCAGTTTTGCTCCCAAACCTCCTTTTCCAAGGTCTGAGCTGCCCCTTGGAGGATGGGCAGTGATGAGGAGCCGCAGTGGTGACATGATGAGCATATTGAGGGGTGCAGCAATGGGGGTGAATTGGGCATCTTCTCCCAGCCCAGCTCCCAGAATTGTCATTTTGGTTCTTTTTTCCTTGAAAATTAAAAGAGATGGAGTCAAGGGGCTGCCATGCCTCCTGTGCTGGAGTGACCCTCTCTCCCACAGCCATGAAAGCCGACCGCAAGCGCTTGAAGGGGGAGAAGACAGACCTGGTGAGCCAGATGCAGCAGCTGTACGCCACGCTGGAGAGCCGGGAGGAGCAGCTCCGGGACTTCATCCGCAACTACGAGCAGCACAGGAAAGTGAGTGCACAGCCCAGCACCGTGCTCTCGTGGGGGCTGGCAGCAGGCTGAGTGTGAAACCTGGTTTGTGACTGCAAAATCCCACTAAAGCCCCAGCTGGACTCTTGCTGGAGTTGGGATGGACCACAGCAGTTTAAGGTTAAATGGAGGAAACAGCCAGACCTGGGGCATTTGATGTAATTTTAACCAGGTGCACGGTGAGCATTTCTTTTTGGGGACCAGTTGCGTTCTGGATCTCCCCAAAAAAGGGTTGACATTCCTGCCAGCACAGGGCTCTTGTGACACCTAAGATACTGCTCGTGGTTGGGTGGTTCCCAAGGGGGTTGTGACAGAGGGGTTTTTAGTAGCACATGGATTTTCCCTTCCTGATGGCCACCCCTGTCCCAGCAGGAGAGCGAGGACGCGGTGAAAGCCCTGGCAAAGGAGAAGGATCTCCTGGAGCGGGAGAAGTGGGAGCTGCGGCGGCAGGCCAAGGAAGCCACGGACCACGCCAGCGCCCTCCGCTCCCAGCTCGACCTGAAGGACAACCGCATGAAGGAGCTGGAGGCCGAGCTGGCCATGGTGAGCTGGAAAATTCCTATACATCTCAGTGCTTGCTGCAGTGGTTGCACTTCTGCAATACTGAGAGGAAAATATTCCATCTCTCAAAAGGAGCTTGATATCCTTGGCATGGAGAGCTTCACTCAAAAATTCATATCCCTGGCATGGGGAGCAGCACAGTTGGGATCTTTGTTCACCCAGGGGAGGGTGGGTTTGGTGTGCAGTGTGTTGCTGCTTGTTCTGCTGCTCTGGGAGATGTTCACATTCCACCACCACCTCAATGTCCTTCCCCAGGCCAAGCAGTCCCTGGCTACGCTGACCAAGGACGTGCCCAAGCGCCATTCCTTGGCCATGCCGGGCGAGACGGTGCTGAACGGGAACCAGGAGTGGGTGATGCAGGCTGACCTCCCGCTGACCGCCGCCATCCGGCAGAGCCAGCAGACCCTCTACCACTCACACCCCCAGCACTCGGCGGACCGGCAAGGTGGGCACCCCACGGGTGGCAGGTCCTCAGTGCCAAACCCCTTCTGGGGAGGAAAGAAGATGGTCAAAACCACTCCTCCCCGGGTGTGGTTTTGAAGCGCATCAGAGGCTTTGCTGGTGTTAATTTCCCGTTTTCCCCCTGCCTTGCAGCTGTCAGAGTGAGCCCCTGCCATTCCCGGCAGCCGTCCATCATCTCCGACGCCTCCGCGGCCGAAGGTGACCGATCGTCCACTCCGAGTGACATCAACTCACCCCGGCATCGAACGCACTCGCTCTGCAACGTAAGGGCCTGCCTGCTGGGGCTTTGATGCCCTGCCTTGGGGAGATGGGCTCTGGGCATTCTGTGGGGCCTCTGCTTCCCAAAACAGCGTTGGGTTTGCAGTGGGGGGCACACTGGGGCTTGGCTGACCTGGAAAGCTGCTGCCCTGGGGTTTATCCCAGCCCCGCTGCAGTTCAGCTGCACAAATGCTGCCTTTTGCCCTGGGGGTGGAGGGTCTTGGGCTGTATCAGCGTTGATTCAATGGATCCATCTCCTTGTGCCACAGGGGGACAGTCCTGGACCGGTACAGAAGAACTTGCACAATCCAATCGTACAGGTAGGGCACAAATCCTCTCAAATCCTGCTTGTGAGACCCCTTCCTGTGCTAGGAAGTACTTGGGGGTGGTGGGTCAGAGGCACCTATTTGGGGTGAATGGAAGTCATCCTGAATTGTCAGTCTGGGATGTCTCCTATTCCCATAATTTGCCCCAAAGTGCAGGTAATGCCATAGGCATTCACTGAGCTCAGGCCTATCACAGTGTTGATTTTTATAAGGTCCAGCCAAAGAATTATTCTTCTGTTTGGCACTAAAACACTGGGATATTTTTGCAATCCAGACAGATGCTCTGCCTGTTTATTCCCAGAGCTGAAATCCTGATCCAGTTGAATTAAAGAGGCCAAAATCCCAGAGCTGTGGAGAGGGGGCCCAATTTCACTGCAAATTCCACCACACAGATTTCAGGAATATTATTGTATTTTGGTCCAGGATCTTAACATTACTTTGGACCTGGATGAAAATATTTTGTGGGGTCTGGCTGCAAATATTTTTTGCAATTGGGACCACATGGTCCATCATCCTTGATGTGAGTGAAGGGCGAAAACGGTAAAGGAAAAAACTGGATGCCTAAACTTGTGTCTTCTCCTGCAGTCTCTAGAAGACCTGGAAGACCAAAAACGGAAAAAGAAGAAAGAGAAGATGGGCTTTGGCTCCATCTCCAGGGTGTTTGCCCGGGGCAAGCAGCGCAAGTCCCTCGATCCCGGGCTCTTCGATGGGACGGCCCCCGACTACTACATCGAGGAGGACGCGGACTGGTGACGGCGCCAGAGCCTCTCCTGGCCCTGCACATGTACATATCCCCAGTCCCAGAGCCCTGTCCCACCTGTGGACGTGTTACCTGTTGTCTTGGGAGCGATGCAGCTGTGTCGTAACTTCAGTTTTTTTCCCTTTTTTCCATGGTTTTTTTTTTCTTTCTTGTTTTGTTTTTCCATCCCGGTAACTCCTTTGTTGTCGCTTCAGTTTGTCCGTTTGGGTTGGGTTTTTTTTTTCTTGTTTTGGGAGGGTTTTTTTGTTCTTTTTTCTTGTTCTTTTGACAAAACTTGAAACTTGAAGGACTGCTGTGTCTCTGTAAATACGACAAATATTGTGCACTTTGTGCTTGTGATGTCTCTTGTCCGAAACCGCTGTTTTCCGGAGCCCAGCCTGCGGGATGTCCTCGCTTGGGGACAAAGGACCTGCCCAGCTGAGGGATCTTAGAGAGAAAACACACAAAAACAACAACAAGAAAATCTCCTTCGCTGTGATGTCTTCCTGGCCGAGCCCCGCGGAGGCGACCCGGGCTGGTTGTTACGCCTGCCGGTCTGGAAATAAGTGTTTTAACGTTCCTTTTTAGTTGTTTTAATTTATTTGCACAAACCCAGAGGAGCTATTCTAACTAAATTATTGCAGAAGTTTTGGGATTTTTATATTTTTCCACGTCGGTTGGGATGGGGCGGGGAGGAGGAAGGGGGTGTTTGTACTGTACTGTCCTGGGAAGTTGCTGTTGGGGGAGATTGGGGCTGTGGACCCCCCAGCCCAGGCTCCCTCAGCTGCCCCAGGAGCACTTAACGCCTTGGAAAACGCAAACCTAAACACATGCCGGGAGATCAGATGGGGGCAAGCTGGTGGGAGCTTTGCCCGCTGTTTTTCCCTGCTTTTGGGGGGTGCTCACCCTTTGCTTCAAGTAAAATTTAGGGGGATCCGGCACGAGCTGGGAGAAAGGTGATATCCCGAGATATCCCATATCCCAAGGTGTTGCTCAGATAGGGCTGGCCACCCCGCTCCAGTTTGGGGTGTTACTGCCGTCAGAGGGGGCTGGGGAAATCGGTACGAGTCCCCACTAGGGAGGTTTTTCTGGCTCTGGGGTGATTTGGAAGCACAGGTGGAGCTTGTTTTTCCAAACTCCTTGGAAATGCCCCCAAACCACCCCCCGGTGCGGCAGCCGCTTCCCCTCTCCACTAACACGTGCCGCGCTCTGCTTATGCCAAGATAAGTACCTTATGCTTTAATGCTTACAGTATAATTTTAAGCTCTTAAAAAAAAATGTATTAAGATTTATTTAATGAACTATAATAGTGTATTATTTTTCTTAATTCCGATACATGCGCCCTGGTTGAAAAAAAAAAAGGGTATTTTGTCTTAAATCTCCGAACTAAACCGATGCCCTCGCGCTGTATATTCCATTCCAAGGGATGATGCAGAGAGGCCATGGAGGGGGTGACAGAGGGACCAGCCCCCCCAGGCTCTCCTGGGGTGGCAGGGCAGGCTTTGCCCCATGGCATCTTTTCTCTGCAGAGAAGCATTTTTATATATTTTGTTGTTTTTTGGGTTCTGTTTTGTTTTGTTTTTCTTTGTTCTCCTTGCGTTTTTATAATTTAAACTCTAAACCACCAGAACAGATGAGCGATCTCCTTGTTATCGAGTAGTTTCCTTTGCATTTCAGCTTTTTTGTAAATTAGGAAGTAATTCTAAAAATTACTAAGAGGATGATTTATTTAAAAGAGAACTTTGCTAAATAGCATATGAATTATGGGTAACATTAGATTTAACTTTTCCTCCTGTGAGCGGGGGAGAATCCTTGAAGGCATGGATGCAAATATAAAATTATAAAAGATCTAAATAAAGCTTATTTTAAAGTATGGATGAACTCCATGTGGTTTAATTGGAGAGCCTGGATGGGTGTTGGCATCTCTGTCATGGCACCAGGGTGCAGGACACCCTGAGCGCCACGGGAATTTCGGGGTCTCCGGGGTGATGGGAGAATTCAGGAAGAGGCTGGGCCAGCTTTTCCCAGGACCAGCTCCCAACCAGATGCCTGCTTCTGGATGCAAGAATGCTGGCAGGAGGCTGGCACTGTCTGCATCTGTATGAAATGGGGATTTCAAGGATTAAGGTAAGTAAGGACAGCCAGGAGATGTCCCACTCAGATATGGAAAATATGAGAAGGAGTAAGAACAGCAGAAAATGGAGAAATCAGAAAGTGTTATGGTCCAACTGGATAAATTATTGTTGTAGAGGTTGATAAATTATTATTGTTACTATTATTCAGATGACATTGGTCACCTGTAGGCTTTGCCAGCACTTCCAGTGGGGCCTGATAACCATTTTGGGGCCAATGGCTGTTTTGCAGGCAGGATTAAAGGCAACCTGCAATGAGTTTCAAGCCCATAGTCAGGGTACAGATCAAGGGATACACCTTTTCTTTTTTCTCATTTTCTTCTGACAGAAACAGCCTCCTGGGTTTGGGAGCAGCTGCAGAGCAGGTAAGAGCCACCATAGTCTGAAATTGGGAGAGCTGGAACAAAGAAAAATAAACTCAGGAGAAGCCAGCTGGCTCTCCAACTCTTATCACCTGCAGCTGGAATCCAGCATTAAAGGGAACTACAGGTGGCATTAAAGGGCAACTGCTGAGCACGGCAAACATGAGCTGGGCACAAACCATGGTGGGATTTGCTGCACTTGGAGCGGTTCCCTGCTGAGATTTGGTGTCATCCTTTGTGCATGGGATTGGGTACGGGTGCTCATCCATCCCATCTGTGGTTTTAAAAGCTTTGGGAGCCAGGAATGTGTCAGAGTGCCACACCAGTTCTGGTAAGGCTTCTGCCCTGTGCTGTGGGAACCATGGCAAACCCTGTGTAGGGTGACATGGGTCACCTCCTGCACCCAAGCCACAGCAAGCAGAGGGGCCACACTCCCTGTGTCTGTGATGTCCTGGGCTGAGGAGGGGCTTCTTGGTGGCTTTGTCCCCCTGACCTCCTCTTCCCTGGCAGTGGAGGCTGCAGGAGCCTCATCCCTACTGCATCCCCCATCAGCCTCGTCCCTCCTGCATCCCACATCACCCTCGTCCCTGCTGCATCCCACATCACCCTCATCCCTGCTGCATCCCACATCAGCCTCGTCCCTGCTGCATCCCACATCAGCCTCATCCCTGCTGCATCCCCCATCACCCTCGTCCCTTCTGCATCCCCCATCAGCCTCGTCCCTGCTGCATCCCCGCCGTGCTGGTTGTGCAGCACCGTGCTGTGCTGCTGCCACCGTGTGAGCAATCCCCGAGTTCCTGTTTGTTTTAGGTGGGACCGCCCGCCTTGGTGCACTTTGCACCGCGCACCTTTTCTCTGGCGAGGACTTTAGACTGAGAAAGGCAAATATCCCAACGCCACGTGGGGGCAGGGGGTGTTGTGTGGGGTGGCCGGGTACCCCACAGAGGGTGCTGTCCCCAGCACCTCCTGGTGTGTAATGCAGCTGTGCCGGTGCTGGCATCATCCCTGGGTGACATTACAACAGAAGCCGGGTTTACCTGCCGTGCCACAGCCTTGCACTGGTAACCTGGGATGAGGAATGGGGTTGAGAGGTCACAGCACAGAAACAGGGGTGAGTCTGGGACATTTCCTGCCTCTGCACTGACTCACCCCATAGCTTTAGTTGGTGATCTCCCCGGGCTGGATTTTTGATGATAAAGAGCTAAACTGATGTACCCCAAACAGTGAAATAAATCATCAGGAGGTTGGTGAGGTTTGGCATGGGGTGGGTCACAGAGTGTCAGTGATGGTGATCTCTGGTGTCAAGGGCTGCTGCTGAGGCTGCTGGTTTACTGCTCAGGACTGCTGAAAATTTGGGAATGTGCCTGTCATTAATTTACATGTTTTCAGTGTTTTCTCTAGAGGAGTTTTCCCCTGGTGCTTCTTTTACAAAGCCAGCACTGGAAGTGTCCTTGAGCCATCACCTGTGCAGGCAGGGGATGCAGCAGTGCCTGACAGTGCATCCCTCACTGCAGGCATCCTTTGGGACATCCTGCTCTGCCACTCTCCCTGCAGCTGTCCCCCCGTCAGCCCCTGTCTTACCTTCCCACTGCCCCGACCTGGCACAGCCACGAGCATCAGCAGAGCACAAGTGGCTGCACTCCATCCAGCCAGGACACTGGAGCTGTGACAAAGGCCTCCTATTCAGGTAAGAAGGTTTCCTTGGAGTTTTATCACTACTAGTGATTGATCTCCCAACATTTTCCTGTTCTTGGACAACAGCTCTCATTCACCATCTGCTTCTAATTTTGAACAGCTACATTAATCTCTGCCCAACTCTTTTAAACAACCAGCTGCACAACGCCACCGTAGCCCTTCTCTTCCAGCTGTGTTTTCCTCAAGTCCTGGCTTTCCTATTCCCAGATCCTGCCCAAGCCAAAACTTCACCAATGGGATGCAGCAGCTCCAGGAGGAAGCAGCAGGTTATTTACCATTATTACTGTGAACACAGTGGCTTTATTTACACAGTTTTCCAGCTGCAGACGTGCGAGTGCTTGAAGCAGCAGACGGTGACCTGGCACGGTGGTTGGACTGGTTGGACTGGAACTGCCAGGTCCCGGCAGCCCCGGGGACACTGGCTCCTCACCACACCAGGAGATGCTGGCAGGTCGCACCCTCCCACCGGGAGCGTGCGGAAATGCCTCCCAAGTAGCTGCTTTTCCTCTTTTTTCCCACTTGCGTGGCAGGTTCCCAGCCTGCAGCCCAGCAGGACTCTAAATTGGGGTGCAGGAACTAAGGCATGAGGAAGAGAGAGAAAAGTATAGAGCAGTGTGTGTGGGCTGGGAATGGGATCTGAGGAAGCCCATCATGGAGCAGGCTGGGATGGGCTTTCATCCTGGGGGCAAAGCTGGGGCCTGCCATGTTCCATTATACATTATATTTATACATAGATGTATATTATATTTCTGGTGTTTGTTAGCTGTTAGCTGTATTAATCATCAAATCACAGAATAGTTTGAATCGGAAGAGACCTTAGAGACAATCTCATCCCACCTCCTGCCATGAGCAGGGACACCTCCCAGTATCCCAGCTTGCTCTAAACCCCATCCAGCCTGGCCTTGAACACTTCTGGGGATGGGGCAGCCAAAGCTTCTCTGAGCAACCTGTGCCAGGGCCTCCCCCACCCTCACAGGAAAAATTTCTTCCTCATATCTAATCTAGATCTACATTCTGCCAGTTTGATCCCATATGACCTTGTCCTATCACTCCATGGCTTTACAATATAATAATATTACAGTATAATAGAAATGTGCAGTCTGGTGGCTCTACTGCCCTGACTCCCAGGGATGGACTCACCTCTTCCAGGACAAGGCATCCAGCTGTGGGTGTCCAGGGGTCACTTGGAGCAGTGCTTTTGCCTCACTGTTGGGAAGTTTTGGAGGAATCCAGGAACATGTCCAGGCTTCCACTGGTGACTTTAACATACATATTGAGCACCCTTGAGCACCTTTGAGCAGGAAAGAGCAGGGAAATGTGCCAGTGAGCAGGTTCTAAGGCAGGATAATGTGAGCCCCTGCTCTGCTACATGCACCTCAGCATGTAGCAGGATATCAGATGCTCCTCTGAAAGGCCCTTTTTTTTGCCTGCTGGTGGCTCTGGTGGGGCTCCAGTTTCCTCCTTGGCATTCCTGTGCTCTGTACCCTGCATACCTGGCTGGATAATCACCCTGGAGAAGTCCCAGCCTGGGACTGGACAGGGAGTTTTTGCAGGGGGACGATTTGAGCTGCCAGAGATAAATCCCCATATTGGGATGGCTGCAGAGCTGGAAAGGAAAAGGAGCCCAAGGGATGGATGTGAATACATTATCCCACAGAGAGTGTGTGTCAGGGAGAGGCAGGTGCTTTAGCAGCCATCCAAGGGGTGAAGGCAAGCCCCCCTTCCTTGATCCTGCTGCACTGCCACTGAAAAGCCCATTCCTGGCCAATATTCAGCTTTGTGGAGTGGGAACCCGAGGAACCACGTTATGAATGTCCCCTCTGTGCTCACGGTCCCCAGGGCCTCTGCAGGGGGGTGACCTGGCTGGGGCACGGAGCTCTCCCTGCGCCGGATCGGTGACAGTCACTGTGTGAAGTCCCCCCCTTTCTTACAGAGAAAACAATTCCCTGTTATGTCTCCTGACTGCCAGAGCTGCTTGGGATGTTGGGTTTCTGTTTGACACAGGAAGGTGGAGAAGGAGAGGGGGAAATCCACCTGAAGTGGGGCAAATTTGCCTAAGCCGGGAGCCAAGAGGAAAAATGCAAAACAATCCATCCAAGGGAAAAAAAAATGCAGTTATGTTTAATAATTATTTCTTTTTATAGCACAGCTCTTGGAATTGCCCTTTGATTAGAGCGGGGAGGTATCACGGGCAGGTGAGTCAGTGGAAAATACCATCAGCTCCATGTGGGATTGTGCTCGTAGGGAGAGATGCAGGGAAGCAGCGGGGCTTTCCCAAGCATCCTGAACACCAGTGGCCCCAAGGCAGGGCTGTGGAGCTGAGTCACGCCGGGTGATGTGACAAGTTTCATTTGGTTCATGATGGCTTTTGCCTCCACAAGGTCTCGCAGGGCTTAAGGGACAGGAAAAACTGCAGTGGCTGGTCCAGCAGCATAGTGATGCAGTTTTTTCGCTTGGATCAGGAAAAAACCCACCCTGAGTATCATCTTTAACAGGATTTGAGTCCTTGGTGGTGTTTATTATTGCAGCTGGGTGTGAGAAGAGCCTGGAAAAACATCCTCATTGCTGCTGGGATGGCAGCCAAGGAGAGGTGACACTGGACACGGCATTAGTTGCACTGAAGTTTGCCAGAGCTCAGCTCTGCTCCCCGTGGTTCAGTCTGGAAACCATGGGAATGTCTGG